ACCTATATCTCCGGCACAGCAGCCGACCTGTGCCGATTTACTGAGCTACCCCCCCTCACCCCGTAGGCCAACCATGGATAAATCGAAGAAAACCAAATGTTTAATGGTACGTGGGTAGATTCATTTGCTTCAATGCTGACGAACTTATGCTGTTTAATGCATGCAGCCCTTTAGCACTGACTTTGACTCTTCAGGAAGCTGTTTTCCTATTCAAAATATATGAAAGGAGTCCTACTAGTTTATAATGTAAGATTAAAAATAACAGTTTTTATGACTGAACAAGAGCTGCAGCTAAATCATAATGAAGATATACATAGCATTAAGGTAAAAAATGATATATGCAGTGTTATCTTCATTTTAAATGTCAAAAGGGTTTTGTGGCTCCCGGTGTTTTCTTTTGTGTGGGAAACGGGTCCAAATGGCTCTTTGAGTGTTAAAGGTTGCCAACCCCTCCCTTAGACTTTGGAAGAAGAGGAAATTGCGTATCTACATGCTCATGTGCCTGCTGCCTATTCCAGTGGTACAAATAGCTGGGCAAGATTCAAAAGCAGAAATATAGACTCATTAAGCTGAAACAGTTTGTAGAGAGCTACAGGTTCTGCACAAACCTAACTTTAAATTGAACTTTGCCTAACTCACCATTTCACTTCCCCTCTCCCCTTTCAGTGCTGGATGAATTTGCTAACAGTTGAATACTATTGATGAGCTAGGAAAGTGTGCATGTTGCCTAATGTAGTCAGTAAATAGAAAACGCTATGCAAACTGGTAACTTTCGGAGCTGAGCACAATAATTAGCCCTTGCTTATGTTGTACCTTCAGTGTATGGAGGTGCTGTTCAGAGGAAAGAAAAAACGGTGGGGACTAACCATTCCTTTTGCATGTTAGCTTTCCCCAACCTAGTGCCCATGAAATGTGTGGATTGCAACAATTTATAATCCCCGGCCAGGTAGTCCAATACATCTTGAAAGAACCAAGTCAAGGAAGGCTGGTGTATCCCATATCTCCCTGAAAGAGTTCTGCCATTCCTACTCCTCTTCTGTCTTTGTACAGAAAGCCAGTGTGGTATGGTAGTTAGAATGTTGGACTGGGACCCCCAGTCCTCACGCAGCCATGATGCTCATTGGGTGACTTTGGGACAGTTATCAGGAAGAGAAAAAGAGAAGATATAAATGTAACAATAATTATAAATTAAATAAATTTGCAACTGGTGACTGAAAAATTGCTATATCACTCAAATTCACAGCTGTAACCTGTTTATTGCACCTGTTTTCATATTGGTAGCAACCATACTACTATTCTTATATATAGCAAAGTGCTTATATATAGCAATTATGGCATCTTAAGTGATCGCAATAGCACCAGGTAACTTGCAGCATTTCAGACAGTGTATTCTATTAATTCCCCAAATCCAAGAGGGTAGTGATGCTGATAATCCCTCTGTCCTACACTCACATACAAACTGTCCTATATCAAACTGTACATTAAAATGTATCATAAAGCACAATTAAATTATCATACAGACTTAACTTCAGGTAGCAGTCCCAAATCAATTGATCAAGAATAAAACAGAGAGCTGAGACAATAGCAGAAATGGACAAACAATAATAGCCTATTGAAAAAAAAATCAGTTGCTTTTACTTTATTTGAAAATGTATTATGTGCACTGAGAGTATTCTTTGGATCTGTATTTTATAGGAAATAAATTTGTGGCTTCTCATAGTTAAGTTTCTGGAGCTCAGTGACAAGCATTAAACAAAGGATTGTTAAGATTTAAATACATATTTCCAATCATGTAAGGGAAAAAGTTAAATCTTCATGGAAGAGAAAATGAGTCCCCTTGAGTGTCACTCTGTTTGCACATTAGCACATAGCAAAGTCTTTGCCAAGTTGTTCTCTGACTGACTGCTGCAGATGCTCTTTCTCAAGTATTCAGAGTCAGATCTTTAGTGCAGGTCTTCAGGGACAAACAATAGCACCTGTTCCTCACAAGATATCAGGCCAGTTAGTCCATTCATGTATCTTTAATGAAGCTCCAGGGCAGATGGCAAAAATAAAAAGGCATCATCATCAAGTTAGCAGAGGAGACAAAAAGAAAGAGATGTTGATGCAACAATGCATTGCTTTTATGAGTAGGAAGAAAAGAGCATCTTTATTTGGCATCTGCTGGTGTCTTGATTTTCAAAAAGACTCAAGGAACAGAGAAGCAATTAACCTTTCTGGGAATATATATGATTTGATGAAGTTGCCTAACCTCATCCCCCTAAATCAACTAGCATAAAGCACAAGGGGCTACACCTACTAAGTTTGCTTCAGGAGACAGCACTGATTTGCTGCCTCAAATAGACATTTAAAAATGTGCAGAAAATAACATGTTTGACTTCTGGGCTGGCACTGCCTAGTTTGTGCCTTACGCTTTTGACCTGATCTTTCCTGTCCCCACTACACAGTTTGCATCCATTTTTCTTTGGTGTTAAATTTATTTTTAACTTCACAAAAAGGGGGCACATGGACATTTATGTTTCTGCTATGCCTTAGTGCCTAGAAATTATGGGGGCTTGGAATATCCTGATTCCACATAATTTTACAGAATATGAAAGATTTGTGTCAACTTCCAATCCCTCTGTGGCCTTTATAGCCATGCCTTTTGCTCTTAACCCTTCTGGTTGCTCTTTCTTTGCAAGTCTAAGATATAACTCTTCTAGTGCCCTTGCCATCTCACTTTGATGGTTTATTTCTTCCATATTACAGCTTATCCAAGAGCATATTCTGTGTTTTCTACTTTATAACCTTGCTCATCGGATAATGTTCCAAACTAGAAGTGAGAAAAGCTAGATCCTTACTCCCTGAGCTGTTCCTTTGTGGTGCCACTGTATAGAGGAAACCCAAGGTTCTTTCCATCTTTATTATTTATCTCTCTATTTCAAGATACTCTTTCATAAATTGATAGTTTTTCTTTGACATTTTAGCATAAATAATCTATTGTATATTCCAATGTACAGCTTAAAGTATCACATAGTGGGTGTCATGGATAATATGGGGGAGAATGTAAAAATAAATAGCAGGAAGAAATTAGATAGGAGGGATAGTTTGGGATATTAACCATATTCACTCAGCTTTTGAGGTCTATAATAGTCATTTATATCAGAGGAAAAAGATTTACTCACTTACAGAAATGTTGGCTACATGTACTTATTTTTTCCTTTCCCTGCATGTGTTGTCTTTTGTTTCTTCTCTGTGTCACCAAAAAGAAGGTTATAGGAATATACTATTGTATTACTTCGATATGACTCTGTAGTATTTGGGATTCTGGGAGCTATGAGTGACTCAGGATTAATTATTTGAATAAAAATCCACTAGGAAAGCACTCAGAGTGATTGTAAAACACATTTTTTTCAGTTCATGCAAGATGCTGTATTTTTCCCTACTCAGTGTCCCTACATTAGGCAGTGACATTGTTTTTGCTTGTTTATTCAGGAAGTCTGCACGAATGATCATCATACAACAAACTCAGTAGTGTTAAAAAACCATTGATACTGGGCACTGGGGGATCAACTTCAATTTATCCACGTTAAATGTGTTGGTAGCATAGAGAGTGAGGCTTACCTCAGCTAAAATAAAGAAATGGCTGCTCAAAGCTAGTTTCTTTCACACCCGAGTGCCATGGCAGTAATTGCACAAAGACCTTTTTATTATAAGTTGATTTTCCTGAGAGATGGATTCTGAAAAATACTGTAAAGTGTTTATATTTTGCTTGACCTTTATTAACCTACATCTTAGGGCTTTCCCCCCAGAGAATGCTTGTTGGTAAATTAACTCTCTTAGAAGTACATGCACAGTAGCCTTTCTGGTCTGCATCAGAGGTTGGGAGAGGAACATGGATATGACAAGAAAATTTGGCACTATTTAAACAGTGTCATAGGTCAACATATGGATTTTTACCAGTAAAAAAGGGGGTGTTTTTGAACTAGAACAAAACCAAAATGCTGGAAGTTCATTTTGAGTTTTTAATAGAATTTTGTGTCACTGACTTGCAATAGGAGAAAGGACTGAAACTATTTTGTGGTTATACAGCAATTAATTTTCATACTTCCTAGCTATAATTTGAAAAGACCTCTTTGTGTTAAAACTGCTGGGAATCATCAGCAAAATCTTTCTGTTATGTCTGACTATGGCAAAAAAGCATGTTATCCAGTCCAATCTTCTTATATCATGCAACCATGAATGAAGGATGCAGAGAAATAAAACTGTGATGAATTTAACAGGACTACATTGACCCTGACTCTCTAGTGTTGTTTGCCAGGTGAAAAGTCCAATAAAAATGTAGGGAATATTCTGCTTTTGCATTTCTAAAATTATTTTTTTAAAATCTATTTCTCCTTTATTTTGCTTTTAAATACTCTCATGAAGTTCAAATGAAATTTGTCATAATCGGATTTATTCTGAAATGCGTAATAATTACCAAGGTACATGATAGTGCTTAGAGCTATAAAGTAACTTAGATAGATAAGCAATTTATATGTTACACTGAGGTAGGCATCGATATTAGTTTAATTGAGAGCCAAGATTCTGTAATCTTAAAAACTTTGGCTTCGTTTAAAGAAATACTTAAGCTGTGCTGATATTTAAAAGCAATGAATTATTTGCAGATGCTGAAAATCTGAAAAACAGATAGAATTGTGTAATGCAAGTGGAGGACAATACATAAATGAGGAACAGTAAATAAAGTTGCCCTTTCAAGGGTATCATCTTGCTTTAGTGCAGCACCAGCAGAAGAATAAAACAAAGGAAGGCAGATGAGGAAAAAGTGCAGGTGAAGGAGACTTTTGCACCTTTGACACTGAGGGGGTGCAATGTTAGCTTGGGCTCTGATGTGATAATGTGAAATTGGCAAGGAGAAGGTTTGGTGGGACTCAGACACAGCCAAATTGTCAGTGCTTGGAGAGGTATCTGTCAAAGCAAATTTGTGCTATTTCTGATCAGATACTCTTTCTGTTTAGCAGGTTCAGGGTCACATGCCTCCGCTCATGATCCCAATTTTTCCACACGACCAGCGGACACTGGCAGCAGCTGCTGCAGCCCAGCAGGGATTCCTTTTCCCCCCAGGAATAACTTACAAGCCAGGTAAGTTGACAGGGATTTGAAGCCATTTAAGAGGTTAGGATATTGACCACTGCTTCTTTTGTGATCCTTCCAGTGTGGATGGTGATACACAAAAGGGTAAAATAGAAGGAAGGGTATATGTGGATTTTCCCTTTTTTGTTTTTATTTGCTAGTTTAGAGATGCCCAGGGAATTGGTTTTGCATGACCATATTTATTTTATTTCTGTATACTGCAAAATCATTTCCTTTGAATTTTTTGACCCACTTCCCTGCCAATTTGCATGTGAGAGTAGCCTGCTTCTTTATAGGAAGGTTACATATCTTTCTTTTTTTAGGCCCTTTCTCATCAGCATGTACACATACTACTCTTTTGTGCAAGCCTTCTTTATAATTAGAGATAAAAAGTGAAGGCAGGTTTGATTTAATTTGTGTATTTCAAATGGACAGCATTGTGTGTGATTTCCATCTAAATAACAGAGGTTTCAGCAGTTCAGCTGCAATCATCAATTCAGGCTTGTAACAGGTCACGCAACTTCGCAGTGCGAGATGTTTGGAGATGATTTAGCAAATGTTATGATTTCTTTCTTTATTCCTTTGAGTTTACTGGGCTCCTGGGGAATTCAATTAAGGATATAATGGTTTGAAGCTACTTTCAGAGTCTCCTTGTAAACAGGGCTTTAAATGTTTAAAGCCACGTTAGCAATGGAATTCAGGGTAAGAAGATATTTAAGTAAATAACAGTCAACCTTATTTTCATGTGTATATTCCTTGTAAATCCAGACCTAAGCCCAGATGCAGCATTTTTATTTTGCTCATTAATCTCTCCCCCCTTTAATTAATATTTTTTAAAAATGCTACAACATTTTCTTTGGATCTTAAATGTAAAATTCACATAGTAACAGTTGGAATTGACAGCTGCTGTTAATGGGAATTTTGCCTTGGCTTTCAGAAAGAGGTGGGATCAGCTCTGAACGGTATGCGTTTGAATGTAAGCTGCATATTAAATGTAAGCTAAGTTAAATATAAACTCTTCTGAAGTAGGCTTAGTAAGATATGGTGCTAAACAACACTGCAGAAATTATTTCCATTTGTTCTGTTCTACTCCTTTTTGCAACTTATATGAATACACATATATGAAAAATAGATTTTTAGGCACGACAGATGCTGAGTATCAGATCTGAACCTGAATGGTTAGAATGCAGCCTTCCACTCAACCACTGGCTACTTTGTGGTCTGACATAATATGGTTTACATCTCCTAGTCAACCTGTGAAATGGAAATATTCAGAAATAATATAAGAATGATTGTCTAGGGATCAGTCATTTTTTCAGTTTTCGTCTTTTTATCAATCTTAGGTTTACTTCATGTCAAACTTCGAGAATTTTTTTTAACGTTCGGGTGAAATGTATATGCACCATTGTACACATCTCTTCTATTAGATATATATTTGTACAGAATGTTGTCTAATATACACATGTTTTGAAAGCAGTATATTTCTAATATATTAGGAATAATGTTAATCCTACTATATTAGAAATATATTTATATAACAAATATTTGTTATTTTTTATAAAATATGCATTTTTGTATGTGCCTTTTTCTGGTATACACATTTCTGTATGTATTTTTTGACTAGGGATTGCATTGCAAATTTGGAGAAGTCAGAATTTTAGAGGATAAAGTTTTAGTTGGTGTATTAAATATACTGTATTAAATATAGGCTGAAAAGAGCAAAATTGCTATTCCTAGATTGTCCTTTACATTTTAGTTTTGGCAGTATTGAATAACTTTAAAATATAGATGAATATTCAAAAAGTGACCCATACCCTGCTTCTAGCTGATCTTTTTACCAGTTTGAAGTGCTGGTATTATTGGTATGCAGCTCTTTGGAGTAAATGGCAACAGAATATTGCATTTACTAGGAAACAAAATGTGGTTTCCATATGCAATATCTGAACATAGTATGAGGGATAATGTAGATGTAGTTTACATGACTTGATATGTTATACTATTATTATATTACATATTAGCTTGCAGCAATTTTATCTGAACCTTAGCAGTCTAAGGAAATTTTATTCAAAACCTTGGGTAAAATTACTCACATTTTACTTAGAAAACAAATAAAATTTCTCTCAAAAGTTCTTGTGTTCTTCCATACTGCTAGACCTCTTTTTTGTGCCTTGGTGTGGGATGATCTTAGAAGGTGGTGATATGGTATTTCTGTTTAATGCCATGGCCATTGACTTGTGAAACCCTCATGTTTCCATCTTGTTCCCTATGCCATTTAGCATACATATGCAACTGCTGAGAAAGATTAACCAAAGCTTTGGAGTTTGGTGCCACCAATATAATTATGGCACCTAGTATGTTTTTTCTATCTAAATCCAAGGATAGTGTTGTAGTTCCTGGTTTGAAGATGGTAATGGACTGGATGAAGGCAAGCAAATTGAAGCATAAGCTAGATAAGTTAGAATTTTTTCTGTATAAGCAAAATGAAGATCAAAGACAAAGGGATTCAAATTGTACAGGGTTATACATTCCCCTTAAGACTAAGTTTCACAATTTGGGTATAATCCTGGATTCAGTCTTGAACCTAAATATTCAGGTTTGTCAGCATGCTAGACAGCATTCACACAGTGAGACTAATGTGCTGAATGTGTCATTACTGGAGTTGACTGATTTGGCCATGATTACACTTGCCTTAGGTTCATTTGGACTTCGATAACATGCTCTGTGCCTTTTAAAAAAAGTCTGGAAAATTCAGCTGGCCCAGAACACTGTGTCCAAAGGGTCAGCCAGGTCTGGTTACAGGAAACATCTGATTCCATTGTTACAACAGTTTCTCTGACTAACAGTCTGTTTCTGAGCATAATTTAGAATGTGGGTTATGAGTTGACCTATGCAGCTATGTATGGGTTGGGGCTGGCTAACTGAAAAACCACATTGTCCCAAATGTGCCTGCTGAGGTGTTTTAATCCTTTGGCAGATTAAAGGATTAATCTTCTTTCTGTTCCATCACCAGTGAAAGCCCATCTTGGTAGAGATGTAAGAAAGGGCCTTCTGCTTTCTACCCCAGGCTCCAGGCTCGATGGCTACCCCACCCCCCCAGCCCTGTTGTCCATGTACCTGCAGCAAATATAATTTATGTTCAGGCAGGCCTTGGCATATTAGTTGGTCTGTTGCTAATTCTAATAGTTCTAATAGAAATTCTAATAGTTTAGATGCTATTTCTTTTATTGTTCTATTTTTAGTTGTGCTTTTATGAATCTGCATCTGGTCTCTATGGTTATCACAGCTGTAAGATATTATGGGAGGTCAAGCTAGAAAATATCGATCATACATGTAGACCTACTATTTTAGGACACCATCCAAACATATCTGTCCTTGATATACATAAGTCTCCAAACTCAGAGTCTTATGGGCATCCAGTACAGAATGTGAGGCACAACAGTGGTAATTTTCAAATGTTTAGATGAAATGCTCTGGAGGAGGAGGAAGGTTGGTGGTGATCCATTTGAATATGGCATAAGCCATAGACAACAGCCTCCTCTACTCCCTGCTTCCTAGCATGCCTTTCATTTTCCTCTCTGAGGCCAAATTCTGGAGAGACAGCCAGTGTGATTCTTTCTGGGCTGACTGCAACATGTGTTGGACAGGTGCTGCAGGTTTGCAGTCCAGCTCTGAGGTTGCATGACCCCAGAACTGGGACTCCAAATGATTCTGTGGCTCCACAAACAATGTTGGGAAGCCATCGGATTGTGCCATTAGTTTAGATATTTTAATAAATTAGCATCCCAAGAACTGGTTGAAGCCCATGAAAGCTAATGCAAATTTATTAAAATATCTGAACAGCTAAACAGTTGAGCTAGTATGTGTGTGCTACACTTAACTCTTGAATTTGTTAACAGAAGGCTCTCATGGTTACACTGTAACAGTGATGGCAAACTTATGGCACACATGCCCGAAGGGGCGCACAGAGCCCTCTCTGTCGGCACACAATCACCCCAGCAGCCATGTGCATATTCAGAAAGATTAAGAGCGCCAGGCATCACTCATTAGCCACGACTCACCAAGCTTCCACATGACCAGTCAGTGAGCTGCCAGGGATTTGCCTGGACTGTGATTTTAGCAGAAGGTAGGAAAAGTAGGAAATACACTCAGGTAGGAAATACACTCAGATGCCTTTTTCAGGGCCAGCCAAAAGCCGGTGGTCAGTGGAACGTTGCCCCCTTGTGCTGGTGGTCAGCAAATTCAGGTTTTATTGCAGAGTCGGCACTTTACGATAAATAAGTGGCTTCTGAGTTGCAGTTTGGGCAATTGGTCTCTAAAAGGTTTGCTATCACTGCACTATAGTATTATTAAATATCACTTATGTAATTGATAGCAGATTTTTTTAAAAAGGTAGCTAACATTCTTCCTACATTGTCTAATATAGCTTTTCAGGATAACAATTACTAATTGAGAAATCTGGACTGCATAGCTCCCCTAATTACTTTTTTATACATATTCCTTTTGGTATTTATAGCATATGCTAGATTAATTTAAACTTTAAGGTACCATGAAACTGAGATGCCTGTTGTGTCTGCTGACCCACAAACACTTGAAAATTCTCTCAAGACATGCTGCTACAGAGGCTGGAACTTATTTAAATTATATACATAAAGTAGAGCTGTTACAAAGCCTTTGCTTTGCTTAATGAACTGGCTTATTACTATGGGTTACATTAATTAGCAAGTATAAAGGTGTACAATCAACAGTATGATATTTTTGGCAAATGCTAGGCCATGCCAGTGGACTAACTGTAGTGGCTACAATGATGCATGGTGATCCAGGAAATCCCTGATTCAGATATCAGTAAATAGCACTGAATGTTTTACAATGTTCAAACTCTACCTGCTCATGCCCCCAGGACAGAAAGTGAGGGTGGGGTTTTTTGTTTTTGTTCTGTATTTTTCACTAGTTCGGCTTCCAGCTGGCTTATATAATGAGCCTGGATCAGGCATATCCAGGGTGGAAGAGCTGTTTTTATTTAACAGACCTGGAGCCAGCTCCATTAAATCCAAATTTTACACTGGACAGATCAAAGACAGAACAATTCTTCACATCAAGAAAGTGCAGTCAAACCTACACTTACTTGAGATGTGTAAAAACTGCATGAAACAAAAATTACTTCTCGCTTAAGCAGACAAGCCCAGTTTAACGTCCTTGTGGGAGTGTTCCACAGAGATAATGCTAGCAAAGAAAAGACTGTGCTTTATCTTACACTTACCTAATTTGTTTTGGTGGTAAGATATACATCAGGCCCATCTATGGGCAGCTTCATACATGAGATAGTGTATTCAGATATTCAGATACATACATTCAGATATTCTGGCCCAAACTGTATAGGTATTATGTGCCTGCTGGAGGAATCTTACTTGGAGGGAGAAACTAGAGCTCTCAGAGCTTGACAACACCAAGGAGGAACCTATGACAGGAGAATTGAGTCATCCTGGGCCCTCAGGGAAGATAAGAATGGTTGCATCCTAACAGGAGGAAAAGGCATTTGTTCTTTGAGAAAGAGGTTGGACAACTCCTAAGTCCCTGAGAGCATCAACACCTCACGGAGCAGCCCAGTAGGACTCTAAGGAGAGGTGCTTCAATACAGAAACTACTCTAGAGCCAGGGACTTCTCAAGAACAAGGCCTGCAATAAATTCAAAGCGTCTCTACATGAAGAATTTAATCTGCTGCATTACTGAGGCTTCTTCCATTGCTGAAGAAAGGGGGGTTTTCCAGGGGTTTGTATTCTTTACCTTTCTATATATGCTATTGATCAACCACAAGGTAGTCGTGAGGTGTGGTTGCAACATAATGGATTTGCAACTTCTCACAGAGCTTCTGTTCAGGTATGTTGCAGTTTAAAATTTAATACCAGACTTTCCTGGCTTTAAAAAGCCTGCTAAACAGTCTGTAAAAGCTCTGGAGGATAATTATGTTGTAAAAAGGGCCTGCAAACATCTGAGAGTGAGGGATC